AGAGAGAGAGAGAGAGAGAGAGAGAGAGAGAGAGAGAGAGAGAGAGACAGAGCGTTTGAATAGTCGGGGGTGGTGGTTGTGACACGATCTTTTTCTGGGTTCTTGGTCACAGACCAGCTTATGGTATCATGAGTGCATACATCGAGGGCTACTCGGCGAGGGCTACACAGAGGCGTCTTTGTGCCGGTGAAGACACTCGTAGACTTAGTAGAACAGCTGTGCTAGGAATACATACAGTATGCACAGCAATTTACAGCAGAGAAAATGATATCAACGTGAGACCTCCAAAGCTTTACTCACATACAGCAGGTATCAGGATACCTAAGCATCTGTTCTCTGATGACGGCTGCGGTTATTGAGTTGGACACAACCCCGAGTGCGCAAAGGAATTCGGCTAATTTCAACTAAATAGAGATAATTTGTTCAACCTATTTTTTTTGTACTTGTGTGGGCGGGATCTGAGCATAATTTGTTCTCAATTGGTTAATCTGGTTAAATGAGGGTTTGAAATAGATGATGTACTGTATGCTGCAACTGTTAGCCGTTCTTCTTGTGGGTGAGTGCACACGTCCAACGCTGTACGATGAACCAGAGTGGAGGAGAGCAGGAAGTCACGGGCGGCAGCTGAAACATATATTCAGGCAAAAGGCTCCTTATTACTTTTGTTTAAGGTTTTTGTTACAGCTAATGCCAGTAATGCGTGTGTGTGTTCTAAGTTCCACTGTATGTACATGGCACTTCCTAGTTTAAACACTATAGTCGTCCTAAATTTGCCATTGCTCCTAAATGCTTAGGATGAGGTTAAATGTATATGACCATTGTAATAATTGTCTTGCAGTGAAACTGGTTTGGCCACCCCTGTCTTAAGTTATGTAACGACAGACAGAAATAGAAGCGGTACAGACTTTAATCAATGCAAAATACATAATGACACATTTGTACAGTGTAACAGAAATCACTTTAGAGTTAATGAAAAGGCAGAACAATCATCTAAATTTGCCAGTTAAAAAAAATCTCCATCCTTATGAATCTGCACAAAAGCAGATGTCATCACTGTCCACTGACTTCAAGCCCATTGTCTTCAAAATGTCAGTTCAAAGACAGCTCTTAGTGACAATTACTTCTCCTCGCATGCTGGTAATCTAACAGGGTATAAAGGGCTTTATAATATATATCAGTGTTAGGATTTCTCAAGCCACGAGGGAGCATGTAATCCTTCATTTTATCTGAACGACACTGAGACAGAGCCACGCTGGCGGCGGCTCTGTGAGGCTGCACTTACAGTCGGCACAGCAGTGCTCTGAGGCTAAATTGCTAAACTAAGACGTTCACTATCTTAGTTTAGAACAGAACAGCTGAGGGGATTGTGATTGGTTGTGCAGGTATTTGGGCATAAACCAAACATAAATGCTGATGATGGTGCAATGTTAAAAGTGAAGGGATTACATATTATCCTGATAGGAACACGCATGTGTGACGCAAATTTAATGGGAATCAATCAAATAGTTGGAGACATTTAATTTAATTTCACAACAAACTGACGATAATGAGACACAGGTTCCAGGTTAAAAACGCCCCGTTTTGCAATCATAGGAATTCCTGCTCCTCGATCCGAATCTTCAGCAGAAACTAAGCACTTGTTCAACGTCCCATGGTCCAACTTTCTACCAATTCACGGCAATCTGTTGTCAAGATTTGAGATATTCTGCTCACTCACAAACACACAGTCCAACAAACAAAAACAAAATATCCTTGGCAGCGAGAATAAAGAACTCCTTCAGAGCGATGAGTACGTGTGTAAAGTAGATGCGTTCGCTTGCCACACACAGTGTTAATGCTGTGTTGGTATGGTCTGGAGAGGACCCTGCTAATTGTCCACATCTAGGAAGTGAGCCAGCACAGATGCCACAGTGAGAAACTACAGCTGACAGCCAGGAGGAAGAAAGGACCAGAGTTATTCTCCACTGGATACACTGCCATGAAAGAAACGAACAGAGACACTTCATGTTTTCTGCCTGACAAACAACTCTAACTATTGGGTTTTTTTAGTACTTGTTTTATATATTGGCTAGAGTTATTTGTGCTTACCATGTTGTGGTATTGAGATGATTCAAATGAATTCTTCATTCAAAAGGTTTTAGCTTACAAGGGCTTACAAGATGACTCACTTTACCTTCAGATACAAGAAAAACAAACAAAATGAAATATATAGTACTGTATACATGTGTCAAACATAGTATATCAGACCTGTTATAGTATAGTTCTTTCCTAATTTGACTTCCAAAGCATCCCCCCTTCTTTCAAAGTTAGTGTCAGTCATTTGAAGACACTGGTGAATCCACAATGAAACAAGACTTTCTGCACAAGTAAAGTTTTTGCCCCATGTACAAAACAGCTCCAGGGCGCACTACTACTAAGATACTTCAAAAATCTTTTTTCCACATTTCTAACAATGTCTCTCTACCTTGTTGCTTTTCCCTTTCTTCTCTGGTAAAGCTCTCATTGTTAGCTCGCAGGAAAACTAGGAAGCAGTACGCGTTCGTTGGTGCAAAAAAAAAAAAAACAAAAAAAAAAAAAACAGCCCAAAGTTACAATTCTCCGTTTCTCTTTCAAACCACAGTCCTGCCTTACTTCGATAAGCCGCTCTTGCACCTGCAGTGACAAGCTTGCAACAGCTTGTTGCGAGCTACGAGGAGACTGAGCTTTCACGTGCGCCTGCAAGAGCATCCACCAAAAATTGCAAAAAACAGCGTACACAGGCTGAGCACCAGTTGACAATGACTATGCCAAGTGACTCAAAGAATATCAGTTTCTGGATAAACTAGGGGGAATCGGAGATTACCGTTTCTTTTGTCTCCCTGATCTCACCTCTATAAAATGGTGAAGTGAGACTCTGTCTATCGGAGTAAATCCCCTCTATAGCAGCGGCTCCGGGAGACTAAATCCCAGGGACTTGTCTCCTGCAGTTCTGTTGTCGGTGTGTGCCAGGCTGAGGATGGGTGACACTGTGATGGATGGCAGCAGGCAAATCCACTCCTCTAATGAGCTTATGAATAAATATCTCTAGTCTGTGTGTGCAGATGCACGTGGCCGTGAAATAGATATTTGTAACATGCTCTGGATAAGAGGGTGTGAATATGAATATGCATGTTGCATGTATGCAAGTGTACATGTGAGATTAGAGTGAGAACGGGGGAGGGGGAGGCTGGGTGACAATGGACAGTTTGAACATTTTAAAAAGAGGAAGCTGATCTCTATTCCCGAGATCGTCAGCGTGTACACACAGCCTTTGGTGAAATCCTCAACGAGAGAGAAAAGCAAGTCAATATTGTGATTCAAAATCACGTGAGCAGGGTGTTGTGCATATGAAAGAGGAGCGCTTCTTTTCAACGTGACAGTCCCCATGGACACGACCTGTTCTCTAGAAATAAATGACAAGATCTGAATATGAATCAGCGACTCTAATGAGCAACGCACGGTTCCTCCTTTGCCGCACGAGCGGAAGGAGACATTTCAGTGTCTGAACCGCCGTCTCCGTTACATACGACCTCGGGCACCCACAGGAGCACGCACTAACGTGAATGAAGAAAGATAATGTGGGTGAGGACATACATCACCCAGCTGTCTGCAACCCGAGCGGAGCTTTACAGAAACGCAGCATGCGGCCCTGGTCACTATGGAAACAGCAGAGCACAGGGAAACGACGGGTCTTGTCCACCGAAACCAAAAGCTTTAAGGTCCCAATACGTTGGTTAAAATGTAATCAAACATGTCGTCTTTGTATCGGCAAGGTCTTCCCCTCGTCACCTCCATTCAAGGAACTCAGCTTTCAAAACAGCAACCGATGCTCTGATCCTGTGTGTTGAGGCTTTCGTCTGTCTGCTGTGCTTCTTTGTAAATGTTAGTGAAGGTAATTATATCCAGGTTTATTCTGCAGGAAGGCTGAGTGACGTATATATATTTATTTATATCTTTAGGGAGTCCCCTACCAAATCTACGACCAAACTGTCGGTGGTCCAGTTGCATTGTGGGTAATCTAGGCGCCAGATTTAGCCAAGGTAGAAGAATACATGAAGAAAAAAAAGACGATCTGTGCATTCCAACCCATACTACCATTCTTTATATATAGTATTTAGTATGTCCTAATACATAGTATCTCGAATGCAGTGTGCCAAAAATACCAGGATGTTCTTTTACATCCGGTCACATTTTGCAAGTCCGCATGCTTTTTGGGCTATTCTGAACAACAATCCTTTGCTCAGCAGATATTTGAGCAAGAGGGTCAA